TCCGGCGGGTTGTTGTTGGATTGGCATCTGCAAGAAAGGGTGAACTCTTCCCCCAAATGCGTGTGACACTCAAAGAGGAGGAGGTTCTAACAAGACTCATCAGATATCAAATTTGATCAGTCCTGGTCCACATTGGTTTTGCATCATCTTCAATTCATGACCGGCCTTCTGCTTTTTGAGGCTAAAGAGGATGCATCAGGATGGGAACCTCAGTGAAAGCGCAGACCTGGACCTGAAGATGATTTGTTGTGAGCTGGCTGTGAGCCCAAATACCTGGAGTTGACCCGTACGTACCTCAGAAAATGAGTCCAATGACCTCTTTTTTCCTATAGGGTCATGTCCCATTTTCTAGGATAACTTTAAGAGACTAAAGCCACCCGGTCTGGATCATTTGTGTGATTTGCCTTCTCATGGTGGGTGATTCACACAATGTTTACTCAAATAACTTGACATGAAAAAATGTGTCACACTAAATGTTCATTTGTTTTGTAAGTCATATTATATGAGTCACACTGATTCAGTAATTGTTGAGCGGTTCACGCCTTTACCTGGTACACTCTAAGATCGTCCATCATGGATCCAAAATAATGTCAGTGGAGGAACTTGATAGAACATAGACAAGGCCCCATGATGCATGTGTTGGAAGCCATTTATTCTTATATATTCCTACCCAGTCAGTGTTCTTTTCCACAAATCTCCGGCATCCAGGGTATGTCTCGATGTATCGATACATATTATACCCTAGGCTTCCAAGATTAAACACATGGTTGACCTTTGTTCCACTACCTCTGTTACCCCTGAATCCCGAGATGTGCTGGGATTTTGCAGTGATCGAGGGATCGGATGTCAGTGCTGCTCGAGATGTGGAAAGGTTCTCTGCTGAGGAAGGAACGAGCACAACGTTGAGGATCTCAGAGGCTCCATGAGTCCAGGAAGTGTATCTCCTTGAGCGATGACCCACGAGAAAATGCTAGAAATCTCCCAAAGGCTCCCATTTGACTGCTGGTAGTCATACTGCTGAAGGTCCGTCATACTGTATGCTGAAGGCCACCATGGCGTGTTGGAAACCGAGTGGTTGATCCGGTGCAATGGGCTCAGGTCTACCAGGACACCTTCGTGGACCCAGAAGCGCAGGGCACCCACCTCCGCGGTGAGAAGTGGTTGATCCGGTGGACCAGATCCGCAGCGACGTAAAGCAGCGGTGCGGGGATGACGATGGTTTTTTGGGGTGTTCCTATTGCAGGGAATTCAAAGGAGTTCCATTTTGTCAGGATCTTCTTCTATAAGGATCGTGTTCGAAGGTAAGGAATCATACATATTAGGATTTTGTTGCTTTATTCTTTCGATGGTCGAACGGACCCTAGGACCATCTGAAATGCCGTCCAAAGGATCACCTGCTTTTAATGCTCAAGGTGATTTTTCTATTTACCCATAAGCTCCTGCCGAAAAGTTGCGTTGGAACTTTAGGTAGAAAGAAGCCCCAGAAGTTGTCCCTTTCACATGGAAACATGATACGTAGGACTGCGATTAGACATGTTTTCTTCCCATGATGTGACATATTGAGTGTCTTTTGTTGGGGGAGCCACATCCTTGTGGATTGACTTGGCACCAGTGATCCAGTGATTCAGACTGAGGTCCAAGCATGTTGGCTTGCCAGGGCATTGGGCTGCTTGGAGATGAAAGTAAGGGACTTGCTGGAAATCTTAATCCTGTGAAGGATCAACCTTGACATGTTGGAGTGTTTGATCAAGATTTTATCCGGCTCGGATGGGTTCAACGTCCGCAGATAGGCAAGGATACAGTTTTTACGTCGAGTCATTACAATTTGTTTGATGGTTCTACATATTGCACACACAAGCACACACACACACACACGGTGGTCCCTCATGAATAATACCGGATTTGGATATGCTCCATAGAATTATATACGTACAACTACTCTTGCAATCGCGCACTTCATGGCTTCCATCTATGCGCACGTTCGCTTAAAGGTTGATTCCCAGCGACCTCACCAAATCACCAAACTGACAAAAGGAACAAACATGCTTGGGCTTCGCGACCCATGCGCATCGGAGCAGCATCCACCGTGGGTGTTCTTCGCATGGAGCAGCTTCAATCCATGGTGCTTCGTACCATTTCAGGCGTTGGGCCCTTCAGCGAACTCCCCCAAAGGCGCACAACAGAGTCCTTATAGGCCCTAGGGATCCACCCTCTGAGAAGATGAGGAAGGAGACACTTTTATACAGTATAGGTGCCCAAAGGTCGGGTCCAGTCCTATCGCACCATCTCTGGATTCGGTGGATCTGTGGATCCTTAGGGTGTGGATCCGGTGGTTGGGGTCAACCGTGCCGATTCTGCGTTGGTTTCGCTGCGAGGTCACCCTCCACACCGATGGCAGTGTCGTCGGCCGGGGCGAGGCCAGAGAACGGGAGAGAAGCGCGATCTTTTGTCGGGGGCGGAGAATCGTCAGATGGAACGATCAATCCAACTATACCGAAAAAGTAGATCCCCACTGTCCCCACTAAAAATGTATTGGGATCTCCACTATGGCAGTCCCCAGTAGATCCCCAGTAGATCCATGCTGTTTCTATCTATTTGGGGACTGCCATATTGGTCTCCCCTAGACCCGACTGACCCAGTTCCGGATCGACTCCAGGGACCGGTCGCCCCCCGGTCGCCAAAAGTACACACCAAATAGATAGAAAAGTAGACCCTGGGAGTCAAAGACCATTAAAACAATGGTTGACCTGGTTTTTGTATTCTAAAATCCTTAGTTGATTGGGTAAAGCCTATTAATGGTTGTTGGAAGCCTAGGGTAGATGATTCCCACTAGAAAGGTATTGGAAACCGTGCCACTATCTATTTGGGGACCTCCATAGTTCAACCATATGTTTACTGGCCTAGAGCCCATTTGACCTTTGTTTTGGGTAAGGAAGGACCATTATTTGGGGGCGGTTAGTGTAGGTTTGTCTAACACAATTAGGCTTTGACAATCTGAAAACTTGGGGAGCTTTAACCAATACAACTTTTTGGGAGACCATGAATTCCCAAGTGGTTCTATCCAAGATGGGCTTTGATATAGGCTAGAAACAGGCGAAGGGCATGTTCAAGATGCTCCTGCTGAGCCGCTTTGTTTATCACTGTTTGAAAGAGCACTGTTACTCTTAGACTTTGGAACAAACTAAAGATGTCTGGTCCGTCTCAACCACCAGAATTGGGAGGCCAGACGTGCCATCTACTCTGTAACCACTTTAAAAGCCCAAGCAACCCAATGCAAGCAATACAAACCCTGGCCTAGGGATCCAGTCGTACCTTCTCAGAATGTACGACTGGACCCTCCAAACCTATATAATAGTGCCTCCGCCGTCCTCACCGTACCTAAGGTTCGGTACGACTGGATCCCAAACCGCTACCTATAGGAGTTGGTACTGATGCTGGTACCATCCCTGAAGGCAAGGAGAGCGGAACACATTCAAGGATCTTTCCCATAGGGCTCCTGGCCCACCTCCGTTTCGAAGGTGGGATTGGGGTGGGTGGTCTTGGGGGTCGAAGACCACCGGTCACCGGGTCGAAGATGGACCCCTGCTCTTGGCCTGGCGGTTGACCCACCTTAGACACAGCTTCTGATTGCTCGAGGACATGGAGACGACTTCAGCTAAAGTGAAGTTCAAGAGATGACTTCAGGGGCTGGTCTTTCACTCCACATCATGTACCTGGAAGGTTGGGCGTGCTTGTGCGTCCCACCAACTATTTGAATCGGGGGACTCCCTTGGTCGGCTGGGTAGACCGATCTATTTCCCAAACGGAACCCACGGGGTCGGAACAACGCCTGTTCGTTTGAAGACCCACCCATGTGTTTCGGACCTCGCCGAGTTGAGCACACTTTGGGGGGTCGGTGAACGAGCCGGGACCAGTCGATCCAGGATGGCGAGGAGTATGAGATGGAAGCAGTGGCCACTGCCCTTCAGGTGCGCAAACCATGCTGGGAGCACGGTCTGTGGCCGCGTTCGGCTGCCACGTACGGGCTGTGGTTCCCTGCCGCTCCCACTGGCAGTCAGTGCGGCTCCCGTGGCTTGATCATACATCTGACAGAGGTCCAAGGTCCAAGGACCCCAAATGTTGCAGGCTTCGACATCACCATGTGATCCTGCACTAACTAGAATCACCTATATGTAGAACCACCCCCTATTTGTGAGTGGAAATCCCATACACTCCCTTTCCTCCAAAAAGCATCTGTTGGAAAGTGGCAAAAACCACCAGATTTGTAGAAGAAGATGGTCTTCCACGGGTCCCTTAAGTGCCACTTCCACGATGATTCGGAGTCGAAAGTGGTTGTTTCTCTCAATCGGGTGGGAGCGGGTGGAATCTTTGAGTGGATTGATCTAAGAATCTAATTTGTGTGTTTTCTTTCGAACATGTTAGGTGCATCCGATTCTTAGATCAATCCACTCAAAAGACACTCAATCCCGATTGTTTCGAACATGTTAGGTGCATCCGATGGTGCCCTCATACCAAAGCACTGGGAAAGAGAGGTGTTCGACCAATCGATACAAATCACATCCACATCGAAACCAGGAACGACCGACCCTCTGGGTTCGGAACATCGAAAAAGGGAATTGAACAACACCAGGACCGACACCCAGCGACCTGAGTTCCTGGTAGTGGTAAGTCAGTGACCTGATTTAACACCAGACCTGTTCAGGACCTCAGTCACTGGGATCTCAAGTTAGGCCACTACAAAAGGTTCAAACCTACAAACTACAGACCTAAACCTACAAACCCGGTTCTTCAAAGTGACCTTTTGATCTCCCAGTTTGAGGTCACACACGGGCCTGTTTTACAGGTGACAAACATGGCACTCCATTTGGAGGTCACGAACTGAAGAAGCTGGAACCTACAAGTTGTTGGCACCCAAACCTGCATAAACTCCTTGGGCCAGGCGGCTCGCTCGACCATCGTTCCGCCTCTAACACCCGTTCGACCGTGCCGTTTGGGCTCCGGGCTCAGACGGGTCGGTGACGGGGGGACAGACCGCGGCGACGGGAGGGGGTTCCTCCACCGTGGCGAAGACCGCGCCATGGGGAACACCTCATGTTGTCAGTCTGAAGCTTGGTGCAGCATCCCAACGGGTGGGACGGGCATGACTGGTGGGGGGCCTGCGGGTTGACCTTGGAAACCATCCCAATCTATATAATTCTATTATCTATACATTAATTTAATTTAATCCACATTATATACCAGGACCACTGAAAAGGGGTGGTTTATGGACACCCCTGACTATGTATTTTCCGTACATGCTGGGTTTGGTCTGACGAACACGACCATGGTGCCCTAGTAAAGCCCAGCATAATTGGTGCCTAAAGGAGGCCATGCTTGGTGCCTTGGCAGACCACACCGGTTTGGAGCGGGGAATTGATGCAGATGTTCTAAGGAACAGAACTGGCTCCCCATGTATTGAGATGATTCAACATGTCCGACATGTCCTCAATTGGACTTTTGGTCATACATCAGGATCTGATGTGAACAAACAAGTTTCAATCAAGTCCTTTTGATTCTTCTTCAGCTTGGAGCAGAGGAATCTAGACTGTTTGCTTTTTTCGTCAGACCTCGGACCTATTAAGCCATTATAGGACCTCATGATAGGGCCATATAGGCTTGCTTGGGCCTCAGGAACCAACAACACACCCCTTTCCACCCCCCCCGTGGAAGAATCGGATGCCCCCTGTGGAAGTCCTCAACTCGGCCGCTGGTGGAACGCGTTGGCGCCCACCCGGGGCGCCGGGGAGGACAGTCGAAGGTGTTCCGCTTCGGCTTCTTCGACCCAAAAGCACCACGTGTTTCAGAGTTGCTTACTACAATGAACGGTCAAAGCTATACTAGGAACGGTCGAAAGGAAGCTACTAGGAACGGTCTAGCTGCCTTAGCACGGTGGAGTGTCCTAGCCGCCGAAGCGGCAGCGGCAGCGATCGGATGCTACATCGGTTTCGCACGCATCAAAAGTCCCAGGGAACGTAGATGGACAATGGAAATGGATGGACCATGGCTACTGGGAAGATCATTTGATCCTCTGAACTTCACTTCCATGTTAGTGAGTCAGAGGGTACCTGATAATTAACCTGGAACTCTGACATGACAACTGGTTTGGATACGAATTTGGGGTGGTTGGTGGTCCAGAGTAGAGGTCATTCAGGTTCTAGGAAGCCTTTTTCATGCATTGCAGGGATGCTAAGATTAGCTGAGTCCAAACCACAAAGCCGCCTCCAGCCGACCTTCGCCCACGCCCTTCGAATGGGGCTCCCGGCCTCCCGGCCTCGCCCTCCGGTACCCCTCCTCCACCCCTCCTCGGACTGAGGAAGACTTGGCGGTGAACGAGACGCAGCCGGTGGATGCCAAGCCGCTCATGATCAGCGGCGGCGACGCCGCGGTGGCGGGCGGCCTGGGCTTGGCGGGCGGCGACACGGAGGCCGAACGCGTCTACCAGGTGACTCTCAACAAGGCGCCGTGGGTGGGGGAAAATCTGGGGAGGGGGGTCCCACAGAGGTGAAGGGACCATTATTTGAACCCTATGGTGGGATACCCAACTGGGATAGTCGAACCAGGGTTCTTGAACCTTTGCTTGGGTTATGGCGGGCGCATGGCAGATGTTTTTGACCGTTTTGGGGGGGCAGTGGACTGGATGGTGTAGTTATTGAATGACTGGGATGTCAGGGGATGTCAGGTAGGGTGGTTGATGGTGCATGCGTGGTTGAATGTGGATGTTGGACGATGTTTGTGGCTCCTGGATGACATCGCATGTTGGAGTGAGTTGGTACCACATCTTCACTCCACAAAATCCAAGATCTCCTAAAAATGCCTTCCAGGCGCCACATGCCTAGCGCATCAAGAAAGTTTATATTGTTTAATCCAGGGTCCCGAATCTCTAGACTCTAGATGATCTAGATGTACGTTTGGCCCATGCTATATGGCCACTCCGTGGATAGCTCAGCATGGCCTTACAACGTCACCCGGGGGGGACTCCCGGACCTCCTTCAGGTGGATGGTCAAAAGCTCGGTTTGGACGTCGACTACATGGCCGAGCGGAAGCTTTTGCCCATCATGCACGTCACCGGTGGTGTGGCCGAGGAGCTCCTCGGCGGAAGGAAGAGCGAGCTGAGCAGTGGAGGAGGAGGAGGAGGGTGGGGGACCAGGGAAGGGCTGGCAGAGAGTCTTGCAGGGTTATAGTTATGTGTAAACAGGGGAGAACAGCACTCATCAGTGCACTCATTTGCTGAGTAATCTACTGCTTCAGGTTGTTGTTGTTGTTGTTGTTCTTCTTCTTCTTTCTTCTTGTAAAAATAAGGTGGTGCCTTCAAGAGCCGATAGGGCAGCATGTGATTCTGTTTTTCGGGCGCCCCGGAGGCCGTTGACTGGTCGTTTTGTCCTCCCTTCTGGCGTGATTTTGGTCAGCACGGCTTGCAGGTCTTGAAAAGCACCATCATGGGTTTGAGATCCATCGGTTTGTACCCGATATCCTTTTTTCATCCTTTTTCGCAGGAGGTGCCACTATTGCGAACTTGCTGCATTTGATCAGCAAAGAGCATATACCTCCATAGATTGGGTATACGTTGTATGTGGCCTGGGGCCTGGGTGTTATTTTGTTATCAGAAAATAGACATACAATATCATACAATAGACATATAAGAGGATCACTGGTCAGTTATACAGAAAGTGCGTGCTGCCCTCAATCCAACATGGAACAGGAGTGTAGTGTCTTTTGGAAGTCCGCAATCCTCTACCAGCAGCTGGCTTTCCACCAATAGAACCCAGCCAGAATCCTCTTGGTGAAAGGCAAAACTCATGCAAGAGTGTTCAGTTCCTTGTTAAACTCATTGGGCAAAAAGAACAAACCACTGCAAAAGTATAAGATACTTTGGATAATCTTAGATACTTATAAGATCTTAAATGAGTCGATACTCCTTAAGCCAGGAAGGTCTTGTTTTCCGTCCAATCCACACCCGTCCTCTCACTCACCGCGGCCGCCGGGAGTATCGCCCGCTTTTGGAGGTGGAACCGGCGGAACCCACAAAAGAAGATGTGCAGTGGAGAGTCTCGGCAGGATGAAGACTCGATCGAAGCAGGGCTTTCCGAGGTCGAAGCGGACGGTTCGTGGGGGAGGGAGGGATATGGAGGAATGAAGACCTTGGACCCTAGGCCCTAGACCTCCAGCCGTACCGAATCTGAGGTTCGGTGGGACGACCGGGGCCCGGGTGCCATTGTCGGGTCCAGTCATACCGAACCTGAGGAGGTGCGACTGGAGGTGTAGGGTAATCAAGTCCAATGAATGTTGACGATTGATATACCCACAGCAGACATGGATTGAACAACCCTTTTCATTTGGGGGCGTTGTTAATCAAGAGTGTATACATTCAGGGTCTCCATGGCAGGCGCACGCATGTCGGAAAACGATGGCCCGAAGCCGAAGCCTCCCATCAAATCGGAATCTTAAAACATGTCTCCATGATCACTCCATTTGGGTGTGTATATTGTATGTCTATATGGGGAGACCCTCGATCTTCCCAACCTGCCAAGGGGTCGAAATACCGAGATCTCACTGTTTGGGCTACAGACCCATTTGGAGAACGATGGCACCAAGAACAGGATGAGCCCGAGCAGCCCGTCATGGTAGCAAGAGATTCGATCAGTCCATCAATATAGGTCGTGCCCGCGAGGTCTCCTGGTACCACCGCCAAGACTCAGCAGGTGCGTGAGGTGTTTTAATGCAAATAGACATAGGCACAAGCCAAGACATCTGGTCATGGGGACACTAGGAGTTGATTTGTTGGGGTTGTGCTGAGCTTGTGCCATCTTCATAATATATATATATATTGATCTATACTGTAAAGTCGCTGCTTAGATTCTTGTTTTTCTCGAAAGTCCTCCTGCGAGTGTGCCAATAGACTCAACGTCAAAATTGAAAGAGACCTAGGCTTCCAAGACCCTTGAACAGATGGGTGACCCTGGTTTTTTGTGTGTTCTAAAATCCTCAATCAAACAAGTGGCTCTTCAGATCTCTTCAGTAAGAACATGTAGGAACCCTTTAGATCAATGGTTATTGGAATCCTAGGGATTCCCAGTCAACAAGTGCGACATATTGCACCTTTGGTTGGCTCTTGTCTAGCTTCATACAGGGAGTAACTTGCTGTTTCTCACCAAAGCATACCTGGTGAGGAAACCATTCTGATGCTTCAGTCACTGAAAAGACTATCTTGAGCACCCCCCACCCCAGGTGCCTTCGCACGTCCCGCGACCTTCCGATTGTCGCTGTCCCCCCTTCGCGTGTAAGAAGGGGCCAAGGCCCCAAGCGACGGTTTTTCCAAGGACAGCATCCTTGAGGTGAACGGCGTGAAGGGAGATGCTTGGCAAGGTGAACACGACCCCCCCCCCTCTCTCTCTCTCTCTTTCTCAGCTGCGGTGGTGCCGGCGGACGGTAGATGGGTCACTCTAAGATGCCGGATCCACTGCCACCGAACCTCAGGTTCGGAACGACTGGACCCTCCTGGCACCGGCAAATAGCGGTGTCTCCGTCCTCACCTGCTGAGGTTCAGTAACGACTGGATCCCCAGGGATGGACGAAAGCTCCGCGGATGGAACGAGTTGGTTCCCCAAACGCGCTCCTGGCCCCAGACCCGACTCAGGGAACGGTGGTATTTCGACCCCCCGTTTCGACCACCCCCAGACCCCCCTGGCCCACCGGGCTCATGGCGAAACGGAGCGGTTTGCCATGCTTGGCCGCGGGAGACGAGGAGGCCACCCGAGACAGACGAGGAAGTGGGCGGGTCCGAGATGTGCGGCATGGAGCCGACCAAACCGGTGAAAGATGGTGAAAGTGAGAGCCGACCTGTAGACCGTTTGGATCGTTTCAAGTGTTGGTGCAAGAGAAAGAGAGGCAAAGAGAGAATATCTGAATCATACTGTATGAACATGCTATGAATGGGTTCTTTGGCTGACGAGCTGCCTTTCTATTGACAAGAGAGACTGCAGAGACCCCGTGTGTTGGGCCTTCAGATTGTTGGGCTAAACTTCACTGACACACTTGACATGTCTACAGACCCTAAAAACACTCGCTCCCAGGATGTGGTCGAAATGCTTGAGAAGTGCAAGGCAGATCAAATTTTGAATATGACGCTTTGTCGGTCTCTAACCTATGAGTTCCTTGGACAAATAAAGTCTCGACTTGGTTCGGGCAGCGATGGCGCAGCATTTGGGTTTGGCAGCATCGAACCGCGTCGTGGGCTTTTACCATGCTTGTCATTGCTTGTCCCTTTTCCTGATTATGCTTAAGGCGATGTTTTATTATCCCTATAAGCGCTATAAGGGTTAAATCCCCAAACCTGGGGAATATGTTATATGTTTTCCAGGGTCCTGGGAGTTGCAAATCCAAGTTGGAAATAGCGCTTCTTTGTTAACAGGGAGACCCCGCAGGCAACGACCCCCTGGAAGAAGGTCTCCCTGACTATTGAATCCCTATTGAAATATACACCGCACCCGTACAGCCGTCGGTAAAACGATGATGACGACTTTTGGTGATGCCGGTCGGAAACCAACACCATTCACGCAGAGGCCCTGGTAATGGGATAGACCCAACAACACGGGCTTTGGAGATCAAGCTTGCAGTGTTGCAGGTGGTATTGCCAGTACGTACAACGAACAGACGGTTGCAAAACACATCACCGGTCAAGAAAAGCACCTAAACATGATCGCGATTACATAAATCATGTAAAGTAGCTGGCCAAGAAGCACAGGATGTAACATGTACAACCTTTGGATCAAACTTGACCATGCAGCTGTTCCAAGTCCCGGCTTGTGTCAAGGTTCCTCTTAGAAGACTTGGAGAAGTTAGTGCGACAGTGGCCTGGCTTGGAAAGCCGTGCCCCCAAAGCCATTGGATCAGTGGTGTTCCGCTGTTGTGCCTAGGGTTTGTCCTACTACCTGTAAGAGTAACAGTGGTAAGATTCAATCACTTCTTTTTAGAAAGGCCTGCAACTGAACCATCATCATCCACTGTTACTGGTATTGGGACATAGCCAAGTTGTGCCTCTGAAAAAGACCACGATAGCTTGTATGACAGCTGACACTTTCCATGAGCACCTTTGGAATAGATCCTGCACAACTATACACACTCCCTTTAGAAGCCACAGCACAGCGAGGACCTGTTGATGGGGAAGAACTATCCTGAAAACAACACCCTCAAAGTAAATAGAAGAACTGTGAGATGGCTGTGGGTCAAAACCTCATTTTACAAACCTCAGGAGCTTGACATCCTTCATACGCTAGGGATCCAGTCGTACCTTCTCAGAAGGTACTTGGACCCTCCTGGCACCTACATAACAGGTGCCTCCAATCACCGTACCTGAGAAGGTACGACTGGATCCCTAGGGATAGAGGAATCTGTGCATTTTCACGGGTGAAAGCTGGGTTCAGGGTGACATGAGCGTTTTGGGCGCAGGATTTTTCCTCACTCGCTGACTCGCTTTCGCATCGGTGAAGCTTTGGGCGACGTTGCGAGTCGGATGATTCAGACGGAATGGGATGAGCGAAAGAGTACCAGGACCTTCAAAGAGTACCAGTAGTCGGATGATCCTAGAATGAGGTCACGAATCGTCCCTAAAGAGGTCTCAAACAGAGACGACCTTCTAGAGGTCACTTTTGAAGGTCCAGGTATGCAAGTGGCATGTGTTTACAAGTCACATACGAACAAACAGGGCCACCTAAACCCTCAACAGAATGGCTTTGGCAGGGTTTGGCTTGCTCATCCAGGTTTGGGTACGTTCCTCTAGTGGGGCAGTCTCTGCAGAAGAATTGCATACCCATATTCCAGAGAGGCTTTTGTACCAAAGAGAATCAAAAGAATCATCGTCCCCCTCCAAACAAGTACCATTCTTAGAAGACCATTTCGCTGAAGGGATTGGCTAGATGATGGTTTCGGTTATTTTTACTTTCAACCCTTACTTGGGGATGGATGATTGGATCCTCTGATTAATATGTTTCAAGTGGGTTGAAAACACCAAGCAGTTGGGAGCATTGGGTGATATTTGTTCTTCCAATCGCCACACGATGGGAGCGCGCGCCTGGTGCTGTGTTTGGTTCGTCTCTCGGCGGTCAGGAAGCAATGTGGTCCCATCCTGATCCGGCTCTCGTGGCATGACGCGGGAGTCTACAATGGTGTGGATCCTTGGCTGCATGTGTGGGTCCTGTGTCTCCAAATGTCCAAAGACTGGTGTTTGGTGAACTCCAGGAAGAGTTTGGATGGGGTCCCAACCTCACAGTTGCAAGATCCCGTGCGGGATCAAGCTCGTGTGGAGGTTCTAGGGAAGAAAAGATGTGTTTTGGTCATGTCTTACACGTCTTTTCATCCGCACGATGTGAGTTTACCCATGGAGTCGCGGGATTGACACTGACGCAAACACCTCTGGCGACGACCGCTGGCTGTGGCAGCTGGACACCATATCCAGTTGGCAGTGGATCGGACAGTCGGCCGACATAAACAAACCGACGACGTGATGTTGCTTAGCTCGACACCTGGCATGCGCCACTACCACATGCATTCGAATGTCCACACCCCTGCAAAGAATGGGAAGATATGGGAAGCATAATATAAGAGAGCAGACGGGGTCGGACGAGAGGTCTACGCCCCGCTTTCGGGTTGGGCACCGAAACACGCTGCTGCGTTTCAATGCCTCCGATGCGTCTCAGGATGGATGTCCCAACGCTGCGATGCGCTTGAGTGGATCGGCGGAGTCTTGGTGGCTGCGAAGTGCTCGAGTCGGTGTGCGCCACCGAACCCCCGTGCCGTCGCTCCCCTTCTTCGAAGCTCGCGGGGTTTGAGAGTTCGTCACAACTTACGTAGCAAGAGTCCTTGTACTTTAGATGGCTGGGGGATCCAAACTTGGAGCTCCAAAACGAACTCTGGTAGATTGACCTGGTGTTGATTCATCTAGTCTGTTCGTGTTCGGTGGGAAGATCAACGCGGGTCCTCTGGGTTTGACCCACAGGCAAATCGATTTCATGGCGAGTTTCCGCACCACACATGAAGACCCTCCCAGAAATCCCAAAGACCTCAAGAACACCTGCAAGTCTGTGGGTCAAAACCAGCATACCTTGGTTGACCTATCTGATGATAAGTCATTTTTGGGCTCCAGGATTTGACCCAAACCAAAAATTGACAAGCAAACCAAATCAAATCAATGAATACAACCGAGGGCCCCAGGGCTTTGTTGATTTGGTTTGATGCTTGACCCAGATTCAGCCTTGGCTCAGCTACAGTGATGTGCATGGTTTTACCATGAAGAACTGCCAGAAATGTGTCTTAGTCAGCGCTTCTGAACATCCAAGATTCTGGAGTCTCAGTTCGTACCTCGGAAAATGGGTACAGCCCAGAGTGGTACCTGTTTTTTATGGGGTCATGTCTCCATTTTCTAAGGGTTCCTTTGAAGTCGGGTCCAGGTTCAAAGGGTTTCCTTGAGCCCCCGGATTGTTCAGCCGTAGGCGTCCTCGTCTTTCCGTCGTCCTCGTTTCTGAGGAACAGCAAATGGCTGCGAATGCAGGATTGCAGGTCGCGATCAAGTTGCTGGCACCCATCTCAGCGAAGTATGTGCCCAGGTCCGGGTGCACGGACCGGGGCGACCGGGGTGACCGCGGGTTTGTGAGGTATTGTTTGGTGTAGTAAACGTGCTGCGGGGGGGGTATGGAAAGAGGAGAGTGGAGCGGACTTTCACAAAGCAAATCGAGAAAACCACACCAAATTCAACCAAACATACCAATTTTGTTTCATTTCATTTCAGTTACGCCGAGAGCGAGTCGCTTGTGGCTCTGTCATGCATGAATTACGAATTGGCATCTTTGCAGCTGCTCTAGCATCGATGCAAAAGTCAGGGCCACGCTCTGCTGTTTGGTCAAAGTGGCCAATCAGCTTTGTGACCGCATCAGCAAACCACTCAGGAAGATTCTCTCCCTGATCAACATGTGGCTGTGAGACATCGAAGAGAGCAGCAAGTGTTCGGCATAGTGCTCCAGGATATTCCTTGAGCTTCCCGGTCTTCCAGCAGCCTGACTCATCTTTGCCTATACTGGTCGTCAGCGGAACTCGTGTAGTTCTTCCAGAGCACAGAGTCTGTTCAGCTGCCTCTGCATGTGCTATCCACAGATCTGTTGGTTTGCACGAGGGGGCACCGTAGTGTCCTTGTTGGATCCGAAGGCACTGACAACCTTCAAACCTCATCAACATTTGGACAACAGGCAACCTCCAAATCGAAGGAAAGTCTTGTTCATCATCCAGCTCTGCTGGATGTTCCACCACAGCCATAGATCCAGACAACAGCGCGATAAGGAAGAGCCTCAAAGTGACCCCCCAGTAGCAGGTTGCCTGTGGAAACTTGCAAGGATTCCTTCTTGTTCAAACACGGAAGACCAGCTGACTGCTGTCGGCTTCGGAGAGGTCTGACTCCATTCGCTTCTGACGCAACAGCCCTTGCCCTGGACCACGTTTCACATGGTGGCCCTGCGAGGAATCCTCTAAGGGCACCTTCACGCAATGCGCGGGCAAATAAGGCAAAGGTCTCTTCACGGAGCGTGTTGCCCCAATGCAGGTCATAGATAATGTCTACGGACACAGCTTTGGCATTCATCTGCTCAACGAAATATTCGAAATCAGCCTCTCGCCGCGCTCCTGAAAAGAGGTGGGCAAAGATTCGTGGAGAATACGCAACTCTCCTTGTCAGAGAGGGTCGAATACGATGCAGAAATTGAGCTTCTCGCTGGAAGAATGCATCAACTGACTCTTTTGAGACAGAAAACCCGTTGGATGGTCCAAGGAACCATTCTCCAGACGCGAACTCTTGAAAAAGCATCAAAACCCTTAGCCGACTAAGGGTCAGAGTCTCTGCTTCAACAAGTTGATCAGTCCACCGCCGAAATACCTGGAGCATTTCATCATGATAGAGGAAATGTGAAGGCCTGACTCGTCTCAATCCTTCAAGCAAACTGTCATCGGTCGTATGTTGTTCCATACAAGAAATCCAAGCATCACAGTACGCTTGTTCAGCTTCTGAATTGCCTTCGGCAGACAAGAGCATGACCATGCACTGTGGCCCCTCAGCTTGCACAAATGGATCTTTCAGCAACTGCCTCTGCAAATTGGCCTTCTTACTGTTCACTCCTGGTTCAATATCAACTCTAACCCCTCGTTCTCGGTAAAAACTCCAGCACAATCGAGAGTACTCTACATGGTTGAGCAGGTCAGTCGTGTGTGCATAATGTTTTAAACAGTATTCACACTGTAGACCCGTCACATAGTGGCGCACTTCTCGTACACGTCCATGCCAAACATACCCAAACTAATCCAAACTATATTTGTTTGTTAACAAGTTGGTTTTGTGACTGGGCGATCAAACTTTTGGCAGATGAGTTTGATGTAAGTTGATTTGGCATGCACAGCTCTGGATCACACCCATTCCGCTGCAACACCTGAGAGACCTAAGGGAATGAGTTCCCAAGAGCCCCACGTTATGTATTGCCCAACACATGCATGGTGTGAGTCCAAATCCTGGAGCCCTAAGCTCACCCTCTCAGGTTGAGAACGCTCTTTTTGTTCTCTTTCCGATGTCCGTGAGTTTGTTTGCATCCCTTTAGTTCTGCAACATCTCGAAGCATCGCCCCCATCCAAACATGTCCCAAATGCCCTCTAATACTCGCACATGTGTCGATGAGTTGGGGTTTCAGAGGGTCAAAGTAGGCCCTACCCAAACACTCCATGTGTATGGAATATATGCCTATATTGACCCCTGAAACCACCCCAATGTATTTCAATATGACTATAAATATGCCATACATGGAGTGTTTGGGCTACAATGCCAGTCCCAGGCAGGTCGTATTTGAGTGTTGTGCTGCCACCCGATGTGATGCCAGGTTGATCTCCCATGCAGATCTCTGGGTGGTCGCTGCCAACGTAGCGATCAAAGTCACTTGGTTGCAAGTTGCAAGGTTTCGATGTGGCACACACTGAGCACTTGACTTGTTTCGGTTGTATTTTCCTGAGACATGTGTTAAACAAATACTTGTATTTTGCATGTTCTGCAAGATCTTTGCAGGGATTCCAGCTTGAGGGTGGTTGTTGGAACTTGCGTGGGGAGTATGGGCCTTCCATTCACCACGCCTGGCTTCGTCCAGCTACATCCTCGGGTCCTTGGACTTCACAATCAAAGTACCTTCTAAATGGTAGTAGACGCATGGAGGAGGTGTTAAGGATAGTACACATGTAGGCACCTATACCTGGCACCTAAATATTGCGTTTTACTCTAGTGTGTTGTTTTTTGTATATTAAATTGATGTTAACCGATATGCATTATGATTCACTCACCGCCCAAATGAACCCTCCCCAACCTGCTTCTCGCCGTCCATCATGGCAGGTAGATATGACATGATATGTCCCAAGCCCACCCAAACCCTATCTGCTTCATATGCCCTATAGGGCTCCAGGTACCTTCTGAGAAGGTGTTTGGGGTGGGTTTAGAGGGTCCAGATACCGAACCTGAGGAGGTACGACTGGAGCCCCCAACGGGAATGAGACGAACGCCTCGGTACTACGCGTCTCGGACCGCGTCGCCCCGGCCGCTTCGCCGCAGGTCATGGGTGGCCCCGTGATCACCACGCGCTACGGCCGCCTCGACGCGCAGCAAGCCTCGCAGAGTGCCCCCAGTGGCACAGGGCGACTACCCGAGCCTTCGGTGGCACAAGACACCTATAGGGCCCTAGGGCTCCTGGCCCTGGGAAGATGGTTGGGGCGGGTGCCAGGGAATTCTAACCACCTGAACCAGTTGGAGCCATAGGGAACAAGAAGGAACAAAAACAGACGTAAACCCCGAGGCTTCCGAAAGGGGGGGGGAACAGAAGGTCCGATCGTTGGGTGATGAGTCAGTGATGAGCGTTTGATTGGTGTTTGTTGGTGTGAGGAGCTTGGTGATCATTGATCGTGATGTCGAAAAAGGGGTGGTTGGAGTGTTGGCATCCTCCAAGAAGGATTGATACCATTGTTGTTAGCCGGCCCTTTTGAAGCATTCTTGGGGAATCCTGTGGGCTCATAGAGTCTTTGAGGTTCATCATAGAACACAACGCACTATCCAAACAATCCATAGGCTCTATATCAGGGATCCCGACATTTGAGGGTCCATATTTGTAGTCCGTTTGGTTGTTGGCCCTTGGACCTTCGAAGGTATCCTGGAAGGTCCAAACCCAGTTGCTGGCGTTCTCTCACTTCAAATCGCTTCAGGACCTCGGGGTGATTTGTTGAATTAATAAACCCCCCGGCAGACAAGGATTGAAACAGCACTTTATATGGGATCAGTGACCAGGGTTTATTTATCAAACTTTCCATACATGTGTAGGGCTAAATCAGATAAGGTTGCCCACACCTGGTAGAATCACGCTTCAAACCTTTTGGGAGGAACCCAATTTGGGCGAGTTTGAGTTTGCTCACGGAAATAACTGTGAAACATGAAGGTGTCAATCGGTGCTTCTGGAGCTCAGAAGCATGAAGGTTTCCTGATGTTTAGGTCAGCAACATGCCAATCCCCTTTGCTCAGGATGGAGACAAAGACGCTCATCATCTTCGAACGACGCTTGGAAGAAGTGGCAGTAGCAGTGGCAGTGTGCCAGTTGTGGTGTGTGGATTCACCGTTTCCCCCCAAATTACAATCATAACATGCCCAGATGCTCCATGTATGGAATATATGCCGATCAGTTGGGGTGGTGCCAGGGGGGGTCAATGTAGGCATATATGGCATACATGGAGCGTCTGGGATGTTTGGATTCCCCTAAGGGTCCAGCACCATGAGCGCTTCTCGGATGTCCTGCAAGGCCCCAGTTCGGCCAGACAAACACCTCCAAAACTATCCGAACAAGATGTACCGCTGTGACTTGATGGCCCTGTGGGGTCACAAGTTCACAAGAACCTTTTCAGACGGTGGAATGTGCCCGTGATGTACCACCACCCTTTGAACCCTTCGACTCAGATCCTTCACGTCCTTCCCGGACTTCACTGTCCAAGGATCTTTCACCCCAAGGGCTTCGATGATAAAGAGATTGTCGCTTTGTCCGGTGCTCACACCGTCGGCGCTTGCCATCTGGATCGCAGTGGCTTTCAGGGCGCCTGGACAGAGCAGACTCTTGGCTCGAGGAGCGGATGAAAACATGGCACCCCAATGCTCCATGTGGTGATTCGGTGGTGAAAAAACCT